TGAAGAGTAGGATTTTGAAATTCCACCTCACTTACTTTGAGCACGTGGCCAGGAAAGATCAGTCCTTAGAGAAGGACATCAGGCTCGGAAGAGTGGAAGGACAGCACAACAGAGGGAGACTCCAGATGAGATGAATTGATACAGTAACTGGGGCAATGGAAGTTGGTGTATCAGAATTAGTGAGACTGGCTCAGGACAGGGAAGGGTTCAGAGCTGCTTTACATACATACAATCACTATATATTACGAGCAACTCAATGGCACATAACAACAATAACATACTATGAAGGTCTGGAAGCAGGAGTGGCATCCACTTCCTAAATAACAGCCTCTGGAAATGCTATGAACTTTGATGTCAATAGTTGTAGAGGGGCTTCAGGCCTTTCGTTCATCGGGTTGCCATGAGTCGTGCTTGAAGGCAATCAACAACAACAGCCACAGGGTCTTGAATCAGCTATTAATTAACCATGTGAATTGTTCTTTCTACGTTTTTATTTCCTTTATTGTTAAACAAGTCTGTTAGAAGTCTAAAAGTATTTCTAATTTTTCAATTTCTGAAAACCTGTTAAATTCTAAAAAACCTATTAATCCTAGATTTAATGAGTTATAGCAGACCTACTGGAAAGGGTAACATGTTTTAAAGTCATTTTAAGGGTAAAAAACCTCAAACTCATTGCTGTTGAGTAGGAATTGACTCACCACTGGCCCTGCTACAACTTTTCAAAATCTCACAAAATACTGTCTTTCTCATGGGGGGCAGCTAGTGAATTCAAACTGCCCGCCTTTGGATTGGAGGACAACTCCTTTCTCACTAGGCTAATAGAGTGGATAGTAAACCAATAAATCCATTTTAAAATTTTTAAATTTTTAAAAATTTTTACTGTTAGAATGTTTTCTCTAATTTATTCATTAGATTAAGAACTCATCTTCAGAAACTAAAGTCTGGATACTGATCTCATATCACCCTTTGTTAGGTACCACATTACTTGCCAGTGTCTCTAATTGCATGTGCAGAATTCTATAGTATCCCTATAGAGTGTTGTGTGAAGAATCTATGGCTCTTTTCCAATGTGCACCATTAACAGATAGCTGGACTAGTTGGTGGTCTAATCCCTACAACAGTCCTGAAAGCCATTCTTTCATCCGTTAACTGACTACCATGGTGGTAACAGATGACTTTTAAACAGCTGTCACAAGCTGAAAACAAAACAAAACAAAAAAGCTACCCGCCCACATTATGTACAGACAGCTTGCCAATAACTTAAACAAATCCTTCTTGGACCATTTTAACAAACAACTTTTTTCCCCGTTATGTTTTAAACAGAAACTCATAAAACTCAGACAAGCTGGTTTCATGCTTCCCATGGAACTGAACTGCCTTGACTTTCTAATGGGATCACAGCAATTAGTGGTTTCCAGATGCATGTTAAATGTGCTAAGTGCCTGCAGGAATTGGCTTTTAAAACAGACATGACTCTTCAAACGGTTTAAACTCAAGATTCTACTATAAACCTGGAAGACACACTCTGATATTTTTGTATTATTTGACTGATTTGGTGCCTTAGTTGCAATTAATACTATGTAGGGGGGAAAGGGAAATTAAGAAATTCCATTTTTAAGAAATTTTTTCAGTATTTTATCCTATTTTAATTGCTACTTTACCTGTTTCCCTGTCACCCTGAAAATTAGGGAAATAATCCATAAACCTTTTTTGAAAAACAGCTATAATGCATGGAGTTCTTAGTGTTGTTGGACATCTTTTATGAAGAAGCTATTTCTGACTGTGGCCAATTGAACTGCAAACATGTCAGTCTGACAACTTCAACAGCTTATACTTTGTATGTCGGAATGTCAAGCTTTCCTTTATTTGCTCCTGGGTAATTTCTCCCTGTCATGAGACTCATCTTCAAGTGAAAGACTGAGCCTGTGTTTACATCCAGTGTTTTACCTCTGATTGAAACTAGGCAGAAGGCAAAACCACAGTCTGTTTCTTAATAACTGGCAGGGCTGAAAAGAAGACAGGAGAATGAAAACATGGCTTGTGATAAAAAATGCATTTAACAGGTGGTTTCTTCTCTTAACACTGACATAAGCATCTTCCTTGGAGACACAGCTGAGCTTTGTGGCCTTTTTTATTTATTTTTCTCTTTTAGATTCCATGTGGACAGCTCACAAGCAAAAGTGAAAAATATGAAGAGAAATTGGTAATGTTCACCCAGCAGTCTGAAGATTCAGAAAGGTAATGACATTTTATTTAGAGGATGTATACCTCCAATAATAATAATAATAATCTAATTATGGCACTTCTATGGAGAACTTATATGCAGCTATATGATTGCATTTGGCTGGAACCATATAAAGTAGATGAGACAAACATGGTGGCCTATTTGAACACATTTCTTTTCTAATGTGATTACAAGAAGTAGGATTATGACAATTTATGGATTAGTTAAATTAGACTAGCTAAATTTCTCTTGAAAAACTTGGTACTGGGCTGATTTTTCTCTTAATGTTGGCTAAATATTTCCCTAAAAAATCTATTTCAGCAACAAAATGTAGAAGTATTCTTTTGTATTTGCTTGATCCTTACCTTACAAATAAACTGAGCTATTAAATAAGTCACTTATTTAAAAAGAAAACAAAATCAAATACATTGTTCTTCTCATCCTCTCCTCAAATATCATCAATCTTTTAAGGCTTTTCTTAGGCCTCACTCTATTCATTGATAGAGTTATTACTGTGATTTATGTTTTGACAACTTCTATGTGCAAGATACAGTGTTAGATGCTTGCAGAAGATGAGTCTGATAGAGACCTTAATCTCAAATTGCTTGAATTTAGAAGTGAAAAACAGTGCACAAGTCTAAGCACAATGCAAGGCAAAAGCTTTTGTTTCATTCAAGGGGGTCAGACACTGTGGGAAAATTGGAAGAATTAAGTTTACTATTTAAGAGAAGAAAAAGAAACATGCAGTTGTTTAGCCCAAGTCCTGGTAAAAAGAAGACGAAGAAAAGGTTGGGAAAAGGTCGAGGAGTGGGAAAAGGTGTTCAGGCTAAAGGTGGGGAGTGCACAGACGTAGTGGAAAGGAAGCTGGGTGGAAACTGGAAAGCAATTGTTTCGCTTCAGCGTCTGATGTTCTCGTTGTCATTTAGTGAATTCAGAATCACAGAGACCCTAGAGGACAGAATAGAACTGCCCCATGGAGTTTCAGGCTTTAATCTTTATGGAAAGCAGACTGTCGTGTTTTTTCATGAAGCAGCTAGTGGGTTCTAACTGCTGCCATTTTGGTTAGCCACCAAGTGGCACCACCAAGACGTGGAATACCAGTCAGGAAAGTTAGGAGACATCTTGAGTGAGGGCATACACTTCATACAAAAAAGAAAATGCAGATGCTGTGTCCCATTAATAGTCTCATGGGAGATATAAAAGAAAGAGATGAGAAGCTCTGAGACAGGAACATAGAGTGCTGAGTCCCCTTTCTCTCTCTTGAATGAGTTCCTTTCTAAGTGAATCAGGTTCTGCAGAAGTAAAACCTTTTTTTCTTGCAATACTATACTGATATTAAGGTTGTTATGTAGAACTTTTTTTCAAAGTAAAAGGAGTAGAGGAAACCACTTTGATCCTAGCATGAGTAATATCAAAGTAAATACAAAGGATCATAGTCTGTAATAAAATTTTGAAATATATTCTTTTACAAAGAGTTAAATTCATGTTAGGCCTCTGAAGTTATTCTTTTTCAAGATAATCTTATAGTGACAATTCTGTCTTTAAAAAGTGAGGAAAAATGGAGTTGCTTTCATAGTTAAAAAAGCCATTGCTAGATCTATTTTGAAGTACAATATTGTCAGTGACAGGATAATATCTATACGCATACAAGGAA